TAGATAGATAAGATAGATAGATAGATAGATAGATAGATAGATAGATAGATAGAAACAAAGGACAGACACACAGACAGATAGATAGATAGGCAGACAGACAGACAGATAAATAGATAGATAGATAGACAGACAGATTAGATAGACACAGATAGACAGACAGACACAGGCAGTCAGACAGACAGTTAGATAGATAGATAGACACAGACAGACAGACAGACAGACAGATAGATAGATAGATAGATAGACAGACAGATAGACAGCGGATCACATGATCTTGTTGAGGTGCAGACAGATGTTGAGTGTGAGAGAGAAACCCGTCATGAGGCTGTGATTGTGTGATCTGTGTGTTGAGGAAGTGATGTGACGCTGTGTGTCTGTGATCATCAGGTCTGAGTCGAGCGGCGATGCCCTTCGGTCTGATGAGGAGAGAGCTGGCGTGTGAGGGATACCCCATCGAGCTGCGCTGCCCAGGAAGTGATGTCATCATGATCGAGACGGCCAACTACGGCCGCACCGACGACAAGATCTGCGACGCCGACCCCTTCCAGATGGAGAACGTGCAGTGCTACCAGCCAGACGCGTTCAAGATCATGTCACACAGGTACAAATCAGCTCACATTTAGATTCTCTCTTCTATGCATAACAGCAGTTCTGTCATGAAAACTCATGGAAGATTTTAGCATGGTAATGTACATGACAATGTTAATGTATTTGGTCTTGGCGGAATAGATCTGCTACGCTGCTGCTGGTTATTGCTGTAGTTGTAGATTATTGCTGCAAGCAAGTACAGGAACTTGCTACTGCCAATACATATGCCGATTAAGACATACTGCTGCTGCACAAATAGCATATAAAATCTATACAGGTGGAGCTGGGGAAGGTGGAGGGTTTCAGAGGAACTCTGAAAGTGCGCTGCAAAATGCTCAAGCGAATGCTAACCAGCCATTTAAATGTAAAGCAACAAGCTCATTAACTGCGTATGCAACATGAACCAATCAGCTTGTGCCAAGTCGTTTAATGCTGAGAATATCGTCAGTTTACGTTAAGGACCCATCAACCTGCGCCATCTAGAGTTTCATGACAGAATTTGTCATTAAGAGTAATGCTAGTTTGTTTTGTCAGTTTGAATTGATTCGTTCACTAAATTCAAAATGACTCATTCAGCCGACAAATTCATCAAGGCAACCACAGATTTCTTATTCAGTTAGTAATATGTAGTTTTAAATTTTTTTTTTACAGTGTATATTAGGGCTGTAACGGTACACGTATTTGTACTGAACATTTTTGGTACGGGTCTTTCGGTTCATCATTTCATTTCAATCATTTCATTTTTTGGGGAAATTCAGACAATACATGACGTTTTGGCGATCTTTGATGTGGCTCGACATATCGCCGTATACTAAAATTTTCATTGTAATTGAATTTATTTAAAGAAAAAGCAATTTGTTCAGTAAGCCATTGTTGAATTGAATGTGTGTGTATATATATATACAGTGGGTACGGAAAGTATTCAGACCCCCTTAAATTTTTCACTCTTTGTTATATTGCAGCCATTTGCTAAAATCATTTAAGTTAATTTTTTTTCCTCATTAATGTACACACAGCACCCCATATTGACAGAAAAACACAGAATTGTTGACATTTTTGCAGATTTATCAAAAAAGAAAAACTGAAATATCACACGGTCCTAAGTATTCAGACCCTTTGCTCAGTACTTAGTAGAAGCACCCTTTTGATCTAATACAGCCATGAGTCTTTTTGGAAAAGATGCAACAAGTTTTTCACACCTGGACTTGGGGATCCTCTGCCATTCCTCCTTGCAGATCCTCTCCAGTTCTGTCAGGTTGGATGGTAAACGTTGGTGGACAGCCATTTTTAGGTCTCTCCAGAGATGCTCAATTGGGTTTAAGTCAGGGCTCTGGCTGGGCCATTCAAGAACAGTCACAGAGTTGTTGTGAAGCCACTCCTTCGTTATTTTAGCTGTGTGCTTAGGGTCATTGTCTTCTTGGAAGGTAAACCTTCGGCCCAGTATGAGGTCCTGAGCACTCTGGAGAAGGTTTTCATCCAGGATATCCCTGTACTTGGCCACATTCATCTTTCCCTCGTACCCACTGTATATATGTATATATGTTTAGTTTTTTTTGACGTCAAAACCGACTAGGTAAATACCGAACCGTCATGATTGTATACTGTTACACCTATAGTGTATATACTGTATATATAATTTGTGACAAAATTGCCTCCAAAAAGTGAGCTAAATCTGATACAACCTGTCTTTGGAGTAATGTAAAGATGTTCTCCTTTCACAAAATGATTTTTCTTTAAAGTAAGTAATGTTTCTAATGTGTTGGTCATAATGGTTAGCTTTATATAAAGGCGCTGTAAGTATGTAATATGTGTGTGTGGATGAGATTATGTGTGTGTTTGAGTGTTTTGGCGTCAGCGTGTCTCCCCAGTGTTTGAGCTGCTGCTGTTTCCTAGAAGAACAAATCAATGCTGCTTCACTCTGTCCATTTCCACAGAGAGAGAGAGAGAGATGAGCGGGTCTCCTTCATTGAGTTGAGCTGATGAGAGATGATTCACATGATCTCAGTCTGAAGCGTCTCTCAGACGTTCTCACACAGTTATTGATGTCTTTGGCGACTCCTCTTCTCTGTGTGGCTGTGGAGCAGTGCGAGACTGATGATCATGTGTGTGTGTGTTTCAGGTGTAATAACAGTGTGTGATAATCATGATATAAATTATATGAATATAAATATATACATGTAATAATTAATAAATGCTGAATTTTTGATATACATACACAATCTTCAAGTATATTTCTAATGATACCAGACTTTTGTTTTTATTGTTTTGATCTTTTTATTCCGTTTACTATAGCTTGTCGAGAAATACATGATGGAAACCTGTTTTAATTTTTACTTGTTTATAAAAACGGTTTAAAATGTGCTTTTAACGTTAATATTTTGCCCAGTATAAAATAAACAGTGGCTTGGCAATCATTTTTGTATAAAAAAAATAGCTTTTGTTTATTCTTTAGATCCCTTGTATTCATAGTATAACAGTAGTTTGTCTTTCCGAACATGAACAGACACAGTGAACGTATGCTTCTATATGAAAGCGTGTGTCTTCAGCATTAATCGCAGCAGTATAGTAGGCTATCGTAGAGACGCATCTGCTCTAATGAAGAGTCAGAAAGTATAAGCCAGGCTTCTCTGCTCTCCTCTTCACTCCTGTCTTCACCTCCTCCCTGTGTTTGCGTTCTTCCTCCCTCCGTCGCTCCTCTCTCCACTCCTCCGCTGGGTGTAGTGCTGTTGGGCTGGGTGTGTTTTCTGTCTCCTCCAGCAGGGCGGCGCTGGAGCCTCTGTTTGCTCTCTCAGTGCTCATTCCCCGCTCATTCATTGATTCCCTTCTTCTGTTCGCAGGGCATCGTGAGACGCTGCTCTTTTCTTGTTTGCAGAATAAAGTGTGATGAAATCTTGATCGTCATTTTTTAGGTGGTTTGCTGAGCGCTGCACACTGACGCTTTCATTTCTCCCTTTATACAGGATCATCACGTCACGGTCATGTGCACGTGTGTGTGTGTGTGTGTGTGTGTGTGTTTGGATGAGTTTCCTCCGTCTGAAGGGACCAGACTGTTTGTGGCGCTGCTGAACCTCTGGAGGAAACTGTGTGTGTTTGTGTTGGACTTTCTCTCGCATGTAAAGGCCTATTCACACCGACAGCCAAACGCAAACACAAGCTCAGCTGACAATGAGCAGCAGCCCAGGACTTTCTCTGAGGAAACTCACATTCCAAACTTAGCTTACATGAATGCAAGTTATGCACAATGTTTAATTGTGCTACAAGGTATAAGAGGCTGTGATATTTTATGAATATTTTCACAGCTAGAGGCTGTCGTTGTGCACAATCAGTGTATTATAGTTAACTAAAGCTGAAACTAAAACTATCAAATTTTTTTACGTGAGATAAAAGAAATGTTAAGTGAAGTAAATTAAAGCAATGAGCCCCAAGAAGCTGTGGTTTACAGTGAATTTATAACAGCTAAGAGGTACGACGCGAAGCGGAGTGCCTAAAACCCCCTTAGCTGTTATAAATTCACTGTAAACCACGGCTTCACGGGGCTTATTGCTTTTATAAAACGGTTATTCTATATACGTAGTAAGGTTTCACAAAATAAAACAGAGCAAATAAAGTGTAATGATATTAATAAAAACAGTATTCTTCCACCAAACAATGTAGTTCCTCAGAATCAGTTGTGGTTGCAACAAAGTGGTTGCCGAGCAACACACAAACATAAACAAAGGTGTGTGTTTGTAGAGTAATTTACAACAGCTTCGAATGTGGCTCAACCAATCAGAATCAAGGACCGGAACTCTCCGTTTTATAATGAAATATAAGCAAACTATTAGTTATATTCTTAGTAGATATTTCCAAGCATTTATAATTTTCATTTAAGTTGAAGTAATGAAATAAAATGAAAATGAAAATAACTGAACTGAGATAAATTTAAATTAAAATTAAAAATAAAATGGACAAAAACACAAAATGGTTAAAACTAAACTAAAATCACTAAAACTTAAAAAAAAAAAAACTAAACTAAAAGTAAGATAAAAAAAAACTAAATAGACACTTAAAACAAGTAATTAATCAAACCAACAAAAACGCAATAAAATAACTATAACTTAAAAAAATTAAAATGAAATGACTAAAAATAAAACTGAAAATAACTACACTGAAACTGAGATATATATAAAAAAAAAATCTAAATAGTAGGGGTTTAATGGGACACAAACTTGACGGTTTGGTACGCACCTCGATTTTAACGTCACGGTTCGGTATGGCTTCGGTAAAGCAGGACGAAAAACTTTTTATTAAACAGTGCTTTACTGAACAAATTGCTTTTTTTTCTTTAAATAAATTCAATTAAAATTACAATTTTCTTCGGGATAACGATCTACCCCAGATTCTGCTCCAAACTCTAGGGAGCCCTTTTACGTTACTGTAAGGTTACAATTAACAACAGAGCCCAAAATTCAATTACTATTTATTTTTAACTATAATAATCAACACTCAAATTAAAAATTTGTATGCAAACATGTAAATTGCACATAATGCAGTTTTTAAATGATACAATTTCTATTTGTTGTTGAAATATAAGCTAATCATTTACACAGTGGCTGTCACAACTAGTTTCATAAAAGATTTATTTAAACATATATTAAATAATCAAGCCATCACTAACAGGTAAAGTAAAATAAAATTAAATATGTAGTCTAATATTTCTCAAAATGCTCTTCTCTAGACTTAATTTCTCTAGCAAATAACGAGCTGTGGACACTGATGACTTGCCTGAGGTAAATGAAATGCTACGTGACATTTCGTTTAGAAGCTGTTTTATTGACGTCTTTCTGCAATTGAAACACTGATTGAGTTTTTTGATACGAATACATGTACCGTTACACTCCTACTAAATAGACATTTAAAAAATAATAAAACTGACACAAACACAGCAAAATTAATACATTACTAAAACTGAAAACAACTAAACTAAAACTAAGATAAAAAAAATAACAACTAAATATTTAAAAAAAGCTAGAATAAAAAAACTTAAAAAGAACACAGACACACACACAACAAAATTACTAGGTTTAAACTAAATAATAGTACTAAAATATGCACAATATGTGTTCAGAAAACAGCAAAACCACCAGTGCCTTTCATAGACCATTAATGGTTTTTAAAGTGGTAACAGCATAATAAAACTACACATTGTTCAATTAAAGCACATTGATTAGCTGGCCTCGCTGATCTAGAACACACAGTGCCTGACACGCAGCAGAATAACGATCTGTATATTTTGACACGCCGCACAACAACAGCTCTTACGAGTGCGTCGACCGATCGAATGCGTGTTTGAGCACGCTCCTGAAGGAGCGAGGGAAGCAGATGAATCTGATTCAGCTGATGAGCATGTAATTTCCGGCTGCGGTGTGAATAGGCCTGTATGAATGTGACTGTCTAATAATCTGTTTGCTGAATGTGTGGGGTTTGTTTGGGTGGGGGGCGGGTGGAGGGATGGAGAGTGGACAGAGTGATCGAGGGCAGATAGAAGAACGCCTAATGAACATTCAGATGATTAAATCCATCACACCAGCGATTGGTGGTGTTTAATTGAGGCATAGCTAGTTCCTGTCCCTTACCCTACCATACCATCACTCTCTCTCTCTCTCTCTCTCTCTCTCTCTCTCTCTCTCTCACTGTCCCTCTCTCTCTCTACCTCTCTCTCTCTGTTGCAATATTTTCGTCTCTCCCCTCTCTTTTGTCTTTCTCCCTCATGTGTTTCTCCTCCTGTCTCATGTCTAATAAATTTCACTTGACCTTTAAGCTTGAAAAGAAACGGAAGACTGCTGTTGAACTGAAATTTATCTTTTTTTCTCTCTTCTGTGCACCTTCTGCCTGTCTCTCTCTCTTTCTGTCTCTCTCTCTCTCTCTCTTCATTTATACCTCTCTCCCCTTCTCTATTTCAACGCTTGAATAGAAGTGGACCAAAAAGGTAAAGACCATGTTAACGCCGCAGTTTCTCTCTCCTGTCTCTCCTCATCTTGTCTTCCTCTCTCTCTCTTTCTGTCTCTCTCTCTTCTCCCTGGCCCTTGTGATGTGCTCTAGTTTGATGCAGCTGCTTCATTTTCCTCTTTCTCTTGTTCACACACCTTACAAACACCAGGAAGAACTCCCCTCTCTCTCTCTATTCTCTTTCTCTCTCTCTCTCTCTCTCACACTCGCACACACTTGTTTTCTGCTCTCCCTTTTGATTTGCTTGCTGTTTGAAGCTCATTTATCCTCAGATCCAAACGACACACGCGTCTCTGTTCATCCCTTTGCTTCCCTCAGGACCGACCTGTTGTCATTAATTTAGCGTTTATAAAGAAAACTACTCCTTCTCTTTTAGTAACTGTGTGCACATGCCGTGTTCCTGAAGTGCTTGACCTGAGTGTGTGGGTGTGACGTGATTGACAGCTCTCCCAGCCAATCCCTGTCCTCTGTGTGAACTAACCCGCATCTCATTGGCTCCAAAGGTTCCTGTAGCCCCGCCCCCTCTCTCATGATTCTACCTCAAAAACTCTTAACCAGAACTGAAATGTAGCAGATCAGTTTATGACAGCAAACAAACAAACACATCTATCTATCTATCATCTGTCTGTCTATCTATCGTCTGTCTGTCTGTCTGTCTGTCTATAATCTGATTCTATCTATCTATCTATCTATCTATCT